AGATGAGATGAATTTAGATATTCTTTAGGTTTGAATAAAAAGTTCGTATGGATTGATCATCGATGTTAGTTAATGGTAATGAATTGAGTTTATTATTTAATAATCGAAGACCGTCTTCAATAGCTTTTCGTAGATGCAATGAATCTGAGTTGTCTCTTTCATTATGAGTTTGTTGTTCAATTTCAGTTGAAATTTGATCCAAATGACTGTTTAGTTCTAATAAAGTTTGTCTAATTGAATCAAGCTCTGAGTTCAATGTAGACATTTTATCGGAAAAATTGAAGTTGATTCACAATTTTTAAGATTTGTTTAGTAGCAATTTGTAATTCATTAGAGTTTTAAAATTCAATTTTGATCATTATTTCGTTACTTTTTCTTCAAACCTAAAGAATATCTAAATTCATCTCATCTTAGAACTCTTCTTATAGTCATAAGAGTTGTACAAACAATAATTATGATTCTATTCAATTCTCGATCGCATAATATTTTAATCGATGAAATACGTCTAAAATGATTTCAGACATTTATTCCTTTGAACATTTCCTGTAGTACTCACATTTCGTTTTTGTAGAAAAAGAAAATATATAAAATAGAATGTATAAAAACCGAAGTAATAACAAACGCTAACTTTTCTTAGGGAATCTTTTCAAAAATTTAACATCCCATCTCTATCGAATAAACATGAAGATGAAATACAGCGGACTCTTAAATAGTCTGCCCTACTACTCGAACTATCATGCGTTTCGGGTCACATGAGTCGCCTAACTCGAATATAAATATTATATATATATATATAAATATAAATACAGACCTAATGGTATCGACCCAATTCGAAAATAATGACAGAACTATATAAATGATGGGTCTTCCCAGTGCACTTAAGAAAGTAGGAAAAGTCAAAATTCACTTATGTAAGAGATGGATTATATGTACAAACTTGACCTTTTCCTACTTTCCTAACTTGAATAGAATGTGAGAGGATTTAAAGATTATTTTGTCTATGCTTGAGATTGATCGAATGTGTGCTGAAAGAAAGGAATGTTTAAAGTATTTCTATCGATCTATCTGAGATGATGAATTCAGAGTTTTTCTGAAAATGCGGATTTATTTTCGAACTCGAATTAGGTGTCTACACTGGAAAAAAATAGGTAATCTACCGAATCCCTAACAAAGGTTCCGGAGACGTCGACAAGCTTGCAAATGTGTTCAAAGTTCCAAAAAACGAATAAAAAAATTTGCGGAACCGTTAAAGAATCTTCCTGTGTGCCGAGGGGAAGATCCATTTTTCTGCGGAACCATTTTTAAGTTTCGTACAGCAAAAAAGGTTTCATAGGAAATACAGAACCTGTAGAGTTTCGCGTCGAACCTTAATGATTTCATACGAATCCTCAGTGAGAAACCATGAGGTTCAGTATAAACCTCTAAATGTTCTGTGTTTTCCTACGAAACCTTTTTTTGCTGTACGAAACTTAAAAATGGCTCCGCAGAAAAATGGATCTTCCCCTCGGCACACAGGAAGATTCTTTGAAGGTTCCACAGATTTTTTTATTCATTTTTTGGAACTTTGAACACATTTGCAAGCTTGTCGACGTCTTCGAAACCTTTTTTAGGGATTCGGTAGAGTATCTATTTTTTTTCCAGTGTACTCAATTCTACAGGAATAATTACGTACAAAGAGTAATAAGTAGTTCAAACGTTTGGTATAATCTAGACAATTTTGACTTTAAAACGAAATATCACCTGTAGTTACCTTAACTATTAAGTAAAAAGTACAATTTTTTTTCTAACAACCTTCATTAAAAACATGTTTTTCACTTATTCTGATAAAATCAATGATTTTTTTTGATTTATTTCTTCGAAACCATTAATTTTCATAAAAGATTCGATAATTCCTATCTGCGTTTTTCGTAATATATTCTCATACTAATTAAAGTTTAGCTGTACGTTACTCTGTTCCGTTAATTAAAATAATTACGAAGGATACGATTATTATTTTCTATTCAAACATTATGAGCTTACGGCCAATTTACGTTCGACTAATTGTCGTTCGACCAATTGTCGCGTTCCCTTCAATTCTCTTCAATTGTGCGTTATTTTAGTGTCTGTGGATGAACTAATGAATGAAATATCTGAAAAAGAAAAACAGGATTTAAACAACTTTCAGTTAGAATATAAAAGCTATTTTCTATTTACTTAAAAAGATATAAATCATAAAAATTCTCTCGTGACAAAATCTTCTAGATGTTTATGTTTTTCTATTTCCTCTTCTTTTAAAGATTGTATTAATGCGGAAAATAAAGGTCAATTTAGTTCAACATTTGCTCTCTTTGAATTTGGACGATATTTACGATAAAAAAATTCTGTGATTCCATAAATTTTTTTCTTTTCTGAATTAATTTCTTTTCCGAAACTGCAGAAAAACTCGGCTTTTCTCGAGAAATTTCCGAATAAGGACCTTTTTCATCTTGTCTTGCAGTTCGACCAGGCATTTGTGTATAAATGTTTTCTCTTTTAGGATAATACGTTAAAATTAAATGTAAACCTTTTTCGATACTTTTATCGACTTTTATATCGGCGCCACGTTCAATAATTCTTGTTGCTAAAGTAATCAAACCTAATTTACCAAATTTATAAATATTTTCAGCAATATCATTTTTCGTTTTTATCTCAATGATTTCGCGATTTAAGGATGTCTTTACCGCTAAAAGTCTTTTACGTATACAATCATAATCTGGTTTGCCTCCATTATTTGTTTCATATGAATCAGCAAAGATTAAGATTGGTTGTTCTTGATACCTTAGTTTAATTTCATTTTCTATTGCATCTAAAAATTTGTCGGGATCTGTAATTGTTTCACCAGGACAATTAGAAAACGTTCTATTTTCTTCCAATTTTTTCTGAACCAGAAAATGGTGGAATATCATAATAAATCCATGGTTTATTAGCGAATACTTTTTGAAATTTACTGATATGTTCTTCTTCTATACTACCAGAAAAGCCAATAACCTTTTGAAATTGTGAATAAAATATCAAAGGATCAAAAAAGGATCAAAAAAATAATGAATAAAATGTGCTTTTTTGTTCTCTCGTAAGTTAACTAGAAAAGGCAGAGCCAATTTTGTAGTTTTTCCCAAACTATCCTGAACAGTCCTCTGCTGTCTACTGTAACCCTTTACTTTTCTCTTTGCACATCTCCCACCATCGATCAAAGATCCTATCAAATTGCAAATCGCATTTCTTAATAAATTCTTTATCAAATAAGTTTTCGAGATCTTCTTTCCTATTAAAATTTGCATTGGGATCTGATATTTTGACATCAAAATCATGAACATATTGAAGATGTTCGTCTGAATCCAATATTAAATTATCAAATTCATCATAAGATTGTTTTCGTAAAACTAACTGTATCCTTTTTCTAAAGGACGAACACAGATGTTAGCAAACAAGTTACAGGGTGACCCAAAAAAAAACTTACCTCCTCTGTATTTATTGACTTTCTTGTGTACAAATATGTTTGAACTTTTTACCATCAGTTTAGTTAAATAGAGCAAAGATTTCTGGACAAAATGAGATGTCGCTGAGCTCTGTACGGGCTTTTCTCATGAAACAGCATTCAATTTACGGAAGGTCCCACACCACCAAAATCAGGATAATTAACAGGAAAACAAGAAAGATACGCTCTTAGGCCTTCCGTAAACTGAATGCTGTTTTATGAGAAAAGCTCCGAGACGTCTCATTTTGTTCAGAAGTCTTTACTCTGCTCGACTAAACTGATCGCTAAAAAGTTCAATTATATTTGAACACAAGAAAAGTCAATAAATACAGAGACGGTACGGTTTTTGGGCCACCCTGTAGATAGCTGTAATAATATTTGTGATGTATTTCTTATCATAATGATGAGAGGAATGAAGAAAATAAACATTGCCACTATGATCAGCGTGCCGATAATTTACAGTGCATGCATCTTTCTTTATACTTCCCAAGCTAAAGCTGTGAAGGATAGATATATTCCCGGAAAACCTTAGTAACTCCTCAGCAAGTGGAAATGAAAGCCTGAATCGCGCATAGCTTGAAAGAGGACGATCTGGCGATTCTGGCTGATGTATCAGAATTCAAAATTGTTTGATCCTGGAGCGGCAAGCTCGGACATTTTGCTCGGAACGGCTTCCCATGGTAAACCTGATCCAGATTTTTTGATAAAGCTACTTTCCAAACTCTCATCGAATGCTGAAAACCGCAACGTTCTAGCTCATTTCATTGAATTCAAAAAATAGACACGAAACGGGGGCAATCTTTCCAGAAAGTGTTTAGCGAAAAAGCGGTTCCTAAAACGAACTGTTTTCGGTACATTTCTTTTTTAGAGTGTGAATTTCAAGCAAAAGAGTTGCTTTTTTCAATACCTAATTGATATAAATTCTTAGTACACAGTGTACAATTCCGATGATTCACATTTAATAGCCAGGAAAATTGTCACTATATACAGCAATGGCTTTTTCTTTTCTTCCAATCCTGCACTTCTTAAACTGTCGCTCCTTGGCTTTTCAAGTCCATGATTCCGTCATTCTTGCATCTCTGAGAGTATCCCTCGTTGGTATCTCAATATTATAATTCCTTGACTGCTTTATTGTTGCCTCTCTTACTTTTTCGCGTAGGGCTCTGATACGGTTGACAGTTGATCTTAAGTTTTGTTTGGCTATTTTTTAATTCTATTATTTTTATGTTCGCTGCGAGCCCGGATTCGGCACTACACTATGAAAAAGTGATATTGACTACCAATCTCAATGAATAATAACAGCAATTTCGGAAAAACACGATATTGGGAATCCATGCAAGAGATCGAATACGGGAAGTATCGTTTATCTGATTTTTGTTAACATAAAGCAATTTGTCCGAAGACGTTTGCTATACGTCGACATAGCCAGCCGTAAGCTACACCATTTAGACTATCGGACGTTTACTTGCGTAAGCGGTTGGAAGGATCTCAAAAGCGATGAAAAACGAACATTGCAAATACACTCTTATAGTATCGCCAATTAAATCTCAAGACTCGGAGAGTCCAGACATGCATGTGCTCATCTAGTACATGTGTGAGCGTATATGAAAAAAAGATAAAGCAGTACGTAATTTGCACTATAGTGCAAAAAAAAAATACATTTTTTTTTGACTTATTGTATCTCACATATTGATGTATAAGCAATGAACCATTTTTAGAATTAAAACTGCAGTGGACCGGTCTGTTAACGACCACGATTTTCTATATTTATGCAAAACATTGTGAATTCTAGTTCTAACTAAAATCAACTACAAATGGAAGATGTATTCGATCGTACATATTTGAGAAGCTCCGGCGACAATGTTCAGATTACTTCATGTTGTTCAAGAGCTATATCATAGCAAGTGGAAATGTAATAATAATATATCTCCACAAAAAGCCTTGAGATCTCAGCTACTCCTCTTGTGTTGCTTTGCTGTGTATTAGTATAGAAAGTTAGTTTGTAGCGAGACTATAGAGTGGCATAAGGTATATCTGACGGAGCTTTTAGAAGGCGAGGACGTAATCTGTTCACTGTAGTATATCAGCTGACGTACAGCACCAGCGGAGTGTCTCATCCTTGGATCCGTGGGTCTGCGCTGATAAGCTTTTTTTTAGCCAGCCGATTAGTTTTAGCAAATGTACGGTTTAAATCATTTTAGCAACATGTTTTGTTTTACATTCTTTTTCCAAGTCCTACATTAGCAATGCAACTGTGTCATATAGAAAAAATTGTATCTTTGTTCGTGTATAAATGGATTGCTAGCTGGATTCAGGCCTTCAGGTGCAACCCCCCATCTACGGGTAGAGCCACACCGGTGATGAATCGACCATGAGAAGAGCACAAAAAGGCTACCACATCACCGATTTCCGAGGGTTCGGCCCACCGCTGCGCCGGCGAATTTTTGACCAAAGCCTCAATGGCATTACGTGGAGGACCAGTTTTGTCGATCAAGCGATCCCAGGCTTCAGTCTTGACAAAACCTGGGATTACACAGTTGACGTTGATTCCACTTTTGGCCAGAATGCTGGCATGAAGACGCACCAAAAACTCCATACTTGCTTTAGCTTGACCAGGCATTTCATAGACTATTTGCGGTGGTTGATTACAGTTGCAACCGGGGCTTGAGATAGCAACTACGTGTCGCAGCCCAATACACTCTTGAGCCAATACTAGACCGCGCTTAAAAGCCTGCGGGTACACTTTCTGATAGTAGTCCCAGGTCGCTTCAAAGTCATCATCTGGCTTAGGTTGAAGATTAGTCGATTCAGTGGTGACGTTGACATGAAGGCCGGCGTTATGAATAAACGCTGTGAGTTCATTATTGAAATGAGTGCGTACCGCGGCGAAGAGCTGATCCATAGTAGAAGGAAGAGCTATATCACCGCTGCAACATACTACTTTGATTCCATATTCTTTTTGTAACGTTTCTTGTGCTCGGCCGGCCGCAACATGATCTATGTGGTACCCCAATATCAAGTTGTAGCCATCGCGGGCCATACTTTGTGAAATTCCAAGACCAATGCCACGGGTTCCACCTGTAATGATTGCCGTCTTCATTCTTTTGCTTAGATCCAAAGAGGATGAAACTTTAGAGTTTGTCTTGTGTAAAAATAACGCTTGTATTTACCAATGATGCTATGCGTATAAACAACGTTTGATGTATAAAAGAACAAAAAAGAAACATAATTTTTACTTGTGGTGTGAACTTACACCCCTTCAACACATGATATCACCTTTCTCTGTTTACTGTAGGTAAGGACTGAAACATGGCCACAAACAGAAAGCAAAATAACAAAGCACAAACCTCACTAGTAACAGACTTTTTATTTTATAACTTTGATAAATAAATTGACAATCTTTGAAAAAATGTGAGAGGATACTATGTTATACATACTATTTAATCGTGGATTAAAACAGGTGTTCATGTTTGCAAACAGGCCTTGCAAACTACGTACCAGAATTATAACTGAATTAGCAAATCGGTAGCTGATCAGCCGATTGACTGGTAATCGATTATATCCATTTAAATTTTCCCCGTCGTCCGATATTCACCGATTTTTTATCGATTTATTTTTTCAAAAAAACTTTTCTTTCAGATGTTTTTTCACCAAAAAAGTTGTAGTATAAAACTTTAACCTTGTACCTGAAGTCATTACGTTTTTTAACAAACTTTTTCTATTATTTTCTCTTTTGAGGGTTCGTTACCGTTTCGTCGAAAACTCGCTCTCGTACGGTCGTGGAGCTTTTGAAATTCTTTGAGGTATATACTTTTATACTTACTACTTTTCGAACTTTTTTTTGACTTAGTGTATCTCACATATTAATGTATAAGCAATGAACCATTTCTAGAATTAAAACTGCAGCAGACTACTTACTAATTCCGATTTCTTCAATCGCTTATAACTCTGCCACCCACCTCGCATGCTTTGTTTAGGAGTGGCATAAAATACACAGTTAGATTTAGAAAAATAACTCAAGACTGTTGATTTTTCTTAACTACACGTGTATTGCCATCCATTCCACAAAAGAATGTACCTTACTATTTGTTGTATAATCCGATCACAAACTTTCAATATAGCTGAATGTTGTCAAATTTAATGCTGCTGTTACATGTACAAAAAGACAACAAAGATAGATATACACATGCGGTTTTTATCAGATCATACTCAAGAGCAGAGGACACGGTTTGAAAAATAAGTTTAAAAAGTTATTTGAAATTCCGAAGGATGAAGTGATTTCTACAGCTATCCTCAAAAATCTCTTTTTAGAAAAGATTTCGTAACTAACATTTTTATCGAAAGATGTCCTCGAGTTTTCTCTTTCGAGTGGCAGAAATCGCAGGTATGTGTCGCTCGTCCTTAAAAAGATATTCCAAAATCTCCATCATTCCGCTACTCTGGCCAAAATCGAAAAACGAAATTGACGAAGTTTTTAATTTTTTAGGAGATAATATTTTGTTTTTCTGAGAATTTCTTGGTATACTCTACCCGATAAGTGTAAATATAAGAACAGAATTACAGAAGCCGTGTCCAGAGATTAGATTTTTCCTAGCATAATAGAAGTCAAGTCTGTTCATGCGCAAAAATTGTGCATAAAATTCTTTCTGTACGTAATTTCTATAGGCGGACGAACGAACTTCTTTCATCAACTGTGTTATACGTCTACGCATGCGTACTACGATGGCGTCATTCTTCCACATGCGGAACTATTAATTCCGTTGACGGACAATTGGGAATGGAGCTGGTGTTTTATTAAAATGTTATTTTTCGAGTTGAGAGGTCTACATCGTTTTGTAAGCCACATACATACGTGCTTTGCGTTACCTTTGCTTGTCATAGTTGAAGAAAAAGTGCAGATCATGTCAGTTTCTTTTTTCTTTTGTTTTTCTTTAAGATGTAATCGTTTAATTTGAATGAAAATATTTACACTTTTCCTCAAAAAACAAATTACCTATTCGTAAAAAGAAGATTACTTTTTAAGTGACTCTTTTATGGCACATAATAAAACTAAAATAGCATCCCGCCGCGTCACACAGTATTATCAATCAAATACGAACCCATGGTCAGCAAGTGAAATAGCCAAATAGAATACGTATCATAATATTAAATTGGTTAGGTTTGAACATGAGTTATTTATTGAAAACTAAAAACTAAATCAAATCGCATTAATTTAAATACAGGAATTCAAGTTAATAAACATGTTAATAGAAAACAACGAAGAATAAAACGTGTTGTAGAAGAAACAGGTTCTCGCCGTTGTTGTAGTTACATACGAAGAAGTCAACAACTAAATGAGAAAACTCCGATATAGAGAAATTCTCTTACATCAGTACACATGCGACAACCATATGGACGTTTGGCAAAAGATCGAAAGTGCGCATTTTCAAAATTCAGATAGCGCCAAATATACTCTGATTTACGGGCTACCTAATGACGTCAAATTTTTTGTTACAAGTTGCGAATTCTCAGAAAAAATGGTAAATAAAAACTTAGCCTGTATTTTAGCGCCCTCTTAGAAAAAAGCATTTTTTAATCGTATGAAGTCAATTCAAAAGTATAAAACGTATGTATTCGGAATCCATACGCTTCTAGCTATCTATTAGTAAACACAATTTTTATCTCGCTTTTTTAGTTTTAGATTAAAAAAATTATCGGAATGGCTATTGAGACGCCCGGGCGTGTCAACAAGAAGCTATTGCCACTCCCACGAGTGTCAACACGGAGCTATTGCCACTCCCTGGGCATGTCAACAAGGAGCTATTGCCACTCCTAGCAACGTAGCTGACGGGGTGATGTATGTACTATATGTACTATAGGTATTTTACATGTTAAAATAAAGAGAAATAAAATGTAAGTAGTAGAAAAAGAAAACACGTAGAAAGAAGTTATCTATCTTTTGGGGCTTGTACATATGTGAACTGAATAACTGAAAAAGAAAAGGGGTGTGGAGAACGTTCTAGGCGTAAAGTTACATTATCTTTTTAAACTTATAGTATAAA